TTTTTTTTGTAAATCCCTAAAAGAGAATACAATCAAATATTTGTATGGTTAAATGTCTCATTATTACATGGAAGAGCGAGACCTTCTTTTTCCTCTTTCTAATCAGTGAGCTTTGTACATACCTGTATGATCTCATCAGCAGCAGGATGATTATGCAGCATAGCTATGACTTAGTCCTGTCCTTCATTTTAATAATCTCTGCATGGCACTTGTGTAGCATATCCACATTTGATCTAATAACAGTAGTAAGTAATCATAACCTTAACAGYCAGGCAATAATTAACAGGAATTAATCCTATTCCTGCTATGAAGGAGCCCAAGTGATGATTTTCATCTTCAAATAGGCACCAAGTGGGCTGGGCACCATTTCCAAATCCCACTGCTGACTCCATTACCTCAGACAGCAAGTGTACCACCACATCCAGTCCCTGCTGAGATCAGCAGGTCTTTCCAGAGGCACTGCAAGATGCAGCACAAAACCCTGTAGCAGAAYCACTATCTGTAGGTACTGCAAGCTGAAACACTTGGGTTAGAGCCTATAAGCCATTTGGCAATGCCACTGTTGCATTATCAGGGTTTTTTTTAAGGAAGGGAGTGAACTGATTTGTTCAGDAGTGATAGCAGTATCAGTTGTGCTGGCTCTGGAAGCAGTTAAACCTGCACGGAGCAGAATAAGGTGAATAGTCCAGGCCTGCCTGATGACACTTTCCTAATCACAGTTGGCAGGCAGTCTCACTGCTAGAGGGTGAAATCATGAAGGGAAAAAACCAACCACAGGATTTTCAGGGTGCCCAGTATTTTGCTCTGCGGCCACTTTATCAAAGCACCTGTCACCTTTTCACTCACTTTCCAAGATCAAGAAATCCAAACTGTAAAAAAGCATGTAAAGTTAAGGTTGAAGAATACACACTTGTTGCTATGTTTATATCTTTCCACTCTCATCCAAAATATATATACCTACCTAGACACCTGTAATTACAGCACTAGGCATATGAAAGCTTCTTTCTGCTTCTGTGCCTCTTTTGTACTGTAATGTAAAATTAAAATAGTCTTTAGAATGTGATTGCACAGACCCCATTACTTCAACCGTATTTTCCATTTATAACTTAATTCAATTAAAAAGTAATACACAGGAATGTCAAGAAAATACATAGATTAACATCAAATACCATAAGTCAGTTACTATTCTAATCTCTACCGAAGACCTTTTTCATGACCTCAGCATTCAAACAGGTAGTTCAGCACAGRCATCCAGCTCCAAAATTATGTGCCCATATTTGAACCTTTTTGCCTTTTGTGTCTGCATCTTGCCTCCTTGCCCTACAGGGATTGCCCCACAGATTCYTTTTGTTGAGCTTTGAGAAATGAAAGTAAATTTATTTTCTCTCATAGTTACTGATATCATCCTACCCAAGGTTGTAGGGAAGGAAGGATGCTGTTGGGGTCGTGCTTTCTCCAGCCTGCAGGGATGAAGCACTCTACAGGTCTGCAGATGTACTGGCAGATAATGCAGAAAAAGACTCATGTCTTTTGCCTATGAATGARTACCATCTGGGATATGCTTAGAACTGCTACTAGTGTGTGCAAAGATAGAGAATATAAATTCTGAGATTTATATGGAAATGGCTATAATGAGGGAGGTCTTGATGTTGGATTGTGCTTTACATACAAGATGCCATGTGATCCAAACCCACAGATATTCTTGCCACAAACCATGGCCTGGAGCTTCAGCACAAATTGAGGAATGCTTCTGGTTCCTATGGCTGTGAAGGAAATACTGAGAGGGGCTGAGGAGGTGAACCATGTGAAGACAAAGATAAAACAACCCAACTTACAACAGTAAGCTTTTATCAAGCCAATCTAAGCACTGAGAATGAAGAGGGGCAGATCCACAAGGGCTGCATCTTGGAGCTGCTGTCCGGCCCCAGCRTGCACTCTGCAGCTTGCTCCTGCCCACTGTCTTTTCTGCTGTAACTRGCATGAGCTGCACTAAAAATATTTCAGAAGAGCTCAGGTAGGTGGTTTCAGAGCACACAGGTGATTTCTAAGCACGTGTTTAAGCTGAGTACTGTAGCATGACAGAATGGGAGTACATTGAGACATAGGTTATTTTATGGAACATTAGAGATGACACAATAATCCTGCTTTAAATGTCCTTGTAACATTTTAATTCGGATTAGTGTTTATTGTTCATTTATTTTCTGTAACGCTCCTGTTGCTTCACAGGGTTTGCTTTGACTTAGCATGGCACCCATTCAAGCTGCCCATGGTTAAGAGCAGGAGTAATGCAGTGGCACAAATAATTTGCAGGCCTGAGTTGCCATGTACACTTGGGCTGGCCATAAACATCCTTTGGCCATTTTTTGGTTATTGCTGGGCACTTGATGAAATCTTTCTCTTTGTTAGGACCAGTCAGGACCGACTAGTAGTCCTAGGCAGGTCCCTTATTCATTCTTCATACTAACTGCCACTATCTTATCCAGAAGAATCACTGAATTATTTCTAGATTACGGGGTATATAGAAGAACCCAGTTTTTCAGGGCTTTCATTACTGTATGTATATGGCAAAATTAAAGACAGAGAGATTCAATCCTTTGATGCATTAATTGATATAGCTGGAAATAAGCTTTTGAGCACACAGGCATCCTTCAAGTCTTTGTGTGTTATAGTAATTGATGTTTAAATCACAATGTCAATTCTCATTGCCACTTACTACACCTTATGTTGACTTGTCAGCAGTGCAGCATCTCATTTCCCAGCAGCTGCTAAGAGTTTAGTTGAGACCTAGCTATACATTAGCAAGATAAACCATTCAAAATTACTTCTTACAGCAATAGAAGCCTAATGGTTTTTGCAATAAATTAGCACTGTGACATGGAGGGAAAAGTATTTGCTTAGTAGCAGAAATGATAATGGTAAGGTGCCCAACMGGATTAGAGAGTTATCTGTAAATCCTGAATGAAGCTACTTGCATTATTCAACCAAAGGGTCTTGGGTAAATGGCATAAACATATATCTGGTAGAAAACGTATCATCACCTTCTACACATCCTTAGGAGACATGCTAAATAAAGGGAATAAAAAGTAATGCTCAATAAATATCCACTTACTGAACGAGATGGGCACCACATAAAAAACCACAACAATATAGAGATATGCATGTGAACATGCACAGAGAGACTAACATGGTACTCACGGTCTCTTGAGACCACATCMTTCTCCCCACATCCTATCTCCTGAGAGGCATTTTCTACTTTCACTTTAAGTTTATGCTTCATTGTGAGAACTAATTWAATTACTTTACAAATGGTTACATAAAAGTTATTTCTCCTAAAAACAAACTATATGTTTTTGTTTACTGTTCTTGACTGCAATATAATGAACTAGAAGCAGGTCTTACAAACTCCTCAAGGCCAGAACATTTTCATTGTTCATGCAGATWTTGCAAATGACCCCAAGCTTCAGTATTAATTTATAGACAGTCACATGCTAGGTGAAATTTTCAGGTGGCACCCAGGAGAGCAGGACAAGAAAGGAAGAAAGATTCACTGCAGATTGTTTAACCTATGTAGAAGTACTGAGTACTGTGAGCTATAGAAAACTTGGAAAAGTCCCTAGTGAGCTTTTGAGACTCATATGAATCCCAGTAGGGTTTAGTATTTCCAGGCTGTTAATGTATCTCCTGAAACTGTTACAGTTGATTTTCAGGTGTTTCTGTGACTTAACCGCTACCTGATACCTTGCACTCCTGAACGAAGGCTGAATGCCACGTGGATGCTTTGTGAGTTTGGTTGGCAGCTGAGCTACCAGGTAAACAGAAACCCTGTGAGGTCAACTTCATCTGAAGCCCCATGGCTATCCTAACCCTAAAGGGGATTTTGCCATAACATTTTATAACCTTCAGCTTCAACCTGTGCACCTCACCAGCTCTGACACCAGCTTTAGGCAGCTGCCACCATAAGGGAGCAAGTCTTCAGACCTTCTGGCTAATGTGCTGAAAAACATAACTGAGGAGCATGGCAGTCAAAGTGCAAGTAGGATTATCAGACTGGTCTCGATACTTGAGGGCTCTCTTTTTCCATTTTCTCACTGCTTGGGTTTAATGATACTAAAGACTTCTATGTCAACGACAGTTGAAGCCCAGGAGAGTCAAGAGTGTGCTGACCGATCCAGTTGCTGGATCTGCTCGCTTTGGCTGGTTTTCTTGACACCTTTCCTTCTGCAAGTTCAGTGGGGGCTGGGACCACTCTTTCAGCTCAGCTCTTTCTTCAGTGCACATCAAGGGTGCTGCTGGAGTCGGAAGAACTCAACTGGAGACATCAGCAAGTTGCAGATGAGAAGGGAAAGCAAAATTAAGGCTACAAAAACACCGTGTGATCCAGCAGCGGGAGCAGCTCAGCAGGTGATGGTTAGACTTAGGGTCTCTGCCTCATGCTCCACCAGCYCCATGCATACTGTAACATGCCAAAGCGTGTCTGCACAGCAGGAAGCTCGGGGCAGCCTGTCTCCAGGAGGGTACCCCCCGCATGAGCCACCCCTGTCTCCGCAGCAAGCTGGACCCAGCCGTGCAGCGGGGCAGTGAGGCCCCTCCCGCGGGATGGCGGCACCCGCAGCAGGTGCGCTGGGATTTAAATGCAAAAAAGGACGTGTCTGGGTGTGTGTAGGTTTCTTCTGGGCGAGTGTATGCGTCTGCCCTTCTGGCTAAATATCAGCTCGTGCTTTAGTTCCCGGCTGGCCGGCGAGGGCGCGCAGGGCGCTGCGGCATGGATTCAGCACACGGGTGGGGGCTTCCTATTTTTGTAGATATTTCTGACGGCCTGGGGCTGGGGGCTGGGTTCCTCCCTGCCAAAAGGGCAGCCCCGGCGCGGTCCGCCGAGCAGCGCCGGGGCTGTGCGAGGGGGCGGCRGGGGGCGGGTGTCCCGGGCGGCGGCGGCGGCGGGCGGGCACTAAGACCGCGCCGCCCCCGGGCGCTGCGCGGCGGCCGCAGAAGAGGAGGAGACCGGCGGGCCCGGGAGGAGAGGCGCGGAGGGGAGCGGAGCTATGCTAAACCCGGGGTACCGCTGAGGCGGGGCGGGCCAGGCCAGAGGCGGGGGCTCTCCGGCGGCGGGCGCGCAGGGGCCCGGCTCCCGAGGCGGCGGCAGGCAGCATCTCGGCGCGGGGAGCGGCTCCGCAGCCACCGGGCCAATGAACATGTCAGTGTTGACTTTGCAGGAATACGAATTCGAGAAGCAGTTCAACGAGCATGCGGCCATCCAGTGGATGCAGGAGAACTGGTGAGTGCCGCCCCCGGGCCCCGCCGCCCGCCCGGATCGGGGAGGCGCTGAGCCCATCCGGGTGCGCGGGTTGCGCCCGGCCGGCGCGGCGCGGCTCGGCTCGGCTCGGCTCGGCTCTGCGCCGCCGTGCGCGGCACACGGGCGCTGCCGCCGGCGCTACCTGCGCGGCCGGGCGGGGGCCAGCCCGCCGGCTTGCACAAGGCCGGGGCATCCCGCTGCGGGCCCCGAGCCCCACCGCCGCCCCCTCCCGCCGTGCCTCGGCCCTCCGGCCGGCCCGGCGGCGCAGAGCCGCACACGTGCCCCGGCTGTGCCCTCGGCCTCCCCTGCCTCCATCCCTGCCTCCATCCCCGCCCGACCCTCCCGCTGCCCGCGCTGCAGCCTCGTTCAAACAAGTCGCGCGTTTGCCCGCGCTCCCCGCGAAGCCCCTGTGCTTTGCCCCTCCCCTCCCCCAGCTCCTAATAAAACTTCATTTGCAGCCATGCGGTTATTAACTTTGCCGGCGTGTGCGTGCGGCCGGGGAGCCGGGGCTGCGCACGGACCCGTCGGGGCTTCCCGGGTCGCGGYGAGCCGGAGCCTGCCGGCCCCGCAAAGGGACACACACACGTTCGCAGCCTGGCCCGCCGAAGGGGAGTGGCTGTGCCGGGAGCCTGCTATCTGCCGGGTACTGCCCCGCGGGCATCCCTGGGCCTTGGCCGGCAGCAGGGAGATGGGGATGCAGGGAGCGTCCCGGTTGCCCTTACCCTGAGCTGTCCTCGGGGTCCTCTCCATGACACCTTGCCCTCCTCACCCTCTCCATGGCACCTTGCCCTGGTCCTTGTCCTGGCTTTGTCCACCACCTGCACGGGCCTTGTGTTCACCATCTGCCCCTACTCACCTGTGCCTTGCTGATGCTCTATCCCTGACCACCCTTGCCTGGYTCCCAGTCTTGCTCTTTCTGCTTCTCCTGCGGTCCCTCTCCCCAGCTAGCCCCCAGCTTTCCCTGCATGCCCTCTCTTGGCAGGGCTGTCTGCCCTTTTGAGCTCCTGAGTGAAGACCCGTCCCCATGCCACCCTCGTGTGACAGTGGTAAGACTGTCTTTGGGCCCAGGCTTTGCTGTCTACATTTGCAGGGCAGAATGTCCAAGATCCTGGGTGGATCTCAGCCAGGGATTTGCTAGAATATTTTAGTGACTTGTCTGGGGACTTTTAAGGGCAGTATAATTAAAATTACCATCTAAGTGCACGTATGCCTCCCTCTGTTCTGCAGGTGAGCTCATAACCTCTTGCCTCGTGTCACTCATATTTCAGGAAAAAGGAGACCACATAGATATTCTTGGGCTGGGAGTATTGGATGCTTCCCATTCTGTCCATGTTCCAGAAGAAAATTGGCATCAAAGTGCGTAGGACATGCTGGTAAAAGAGGATGGAAGGAGTGATACATGAGTATATGTGGTAGCCAAATAACCCAGGAGAGGTGCAGTTTATTTTAAAGAACRTGCCTAGGACCTAGCACTCGTGCATCTTCTCCTTGGCTCTCCTGTGCATCATGATGTGACCTTGGAGACATTACATAACTTCTCCTAGACCTCAGTTTCCCCAGCAGGGAAAGACCAGGGGAGTGGGGAATAATAATGCTGAAATGCCCTTACAAGGTACTTTAATGACTTGGGTAATGTTTGCCGAGGTCCTTGAAGATGTCAGGGCACTACATAAATACTAAGCAGTGTTGTTAAAATCTCCCTGGCAGTTTCATGTGCTGCAGAGGCCGTCAGCTGGGATTCCGTAACACCGGGCTCCCACTTCCCAGGTTCAGAGGAGGAGACTGTCAGTGTTAYGCTGCTGCTGTACAGCTGAAGAGACACTCTCATACATGCACGCGTGCTTTACGGTCTAATTTCACCTTCTCTGAGGGAACTGATGAATTAATACCTTTGATTCTCATGAAAGTGAAGGATCTTCTTGTGGTCTGGGAATATTTCTGGAAATGCAATAGAAGTATGCTCTCTGAGATCTCTATCGTGGCAGGTTTTTCCTGAAAATGCTGCTGAGGACTCTTCCGAATTTCAGGTTAAATAGTGCATTTTTATCTTTCAGAAATGCACTTGCTTAATGAAACAGGTTCTGCTCAAGTGCTTGAGTTTTTCAGGGAGCTTAACTGGTAAAATATAGCAGCTTTTTTTTACTTCCTTTTTTGTCATGGTGACTCAATAGGTTTGTGTATGCAGACATCAGTGGCAGTACATGGCTCCTGCACTTTGTACGTGTAGCCCAAATGTACACATCCTTAACACAAGAGCCATCTAAGATGAGGTCGTGAAGTAGTAGTTTGTAGGGACAAACATGTTTTTTTGCTCTCTGAGCAAGGAGACAGACTAGGGGGACTTGCTTAAGGAAAGACTGTGGTAGGAGTTTATACTGTAATTGTTATTTAAATTACTATTTTAATAACATTGCAATACTATTATGACGCCTTAACATGAAGGTAAACAAATTCTATAGGTGTGGCATTTGCTGTTTTACTTCATCTCAGAACTATGTCTTGCTATCTCGTGACACACACAGACACACAAAAGGCTGTAGAGTGTTAGGGGGGATAGATTAACTCTAAGGAATTGACCCTGACTTTTGGATTTTGAGATGTATTTGGAGTCTGAGGAGGCTGCATATGAAGGTTAGCATTGTTTGTAGTTGGACATGAATCCTTTTACATATCCTCTGAGTTCTGAGCGGGTTRAAGCCCCAGAAAGGACTTTTAATTAAACCTCTGTTAGCCTAAAGCTGGAAAAGCTTGAATGCAAAGCCTAGGGGTAGTGCCATATACACCTAGGTACTGGTATGGTTGGTTGGGAAGGATCATGGTGCAACATCTGGTTCTGTTCAACCAAGGCTTGCCCCTCCTTTGCCTTRGTCCTTCAAGTCTGCTTCAAGCTCCATCACTCCTTGGGGCAAGTGCATGTCCTCTGCCCTCCCCAGTCACGTGGCACCCAGACTTTTCTTCTCCATCCAAGCTCCAGGGCTTGTTTCCTTACTGCCATTTGCCCTTGAAAATCCCATCTGATGGCATAGTGGTCTAATGGCAGTGAATTGGGTCCTCCTTGCTTCATTCCAGATGTTCCAGCTTCAGTGGATGAAGGATCCCATCCTGCAACATGCATTGCACTGAGACCTCTTTAAAGCTTGGGCCTGGATTAGTAGTGCTGTGAAGAGGGTGCGGATTTGACACAGGAGAAATGAACAGTCTGTTGCCTGATACTTACAAGCTGATGGGTTTCAGCTCCCTGAATGCTTGGCTCTATGTTTATGCACACCTTTATGGTGTAGTCCCGAGACTGCCTGGTTCTTASGCAGGGAGGCAGGAGTGGCAGAGCGAGGTTAGACAGAACTGCCGATTAGTTGCCTTCCCTAAACAAGCAATTGCAGGATTTCAGGAGGTTWAAGAGCTAGCAGGTCCATTTACTGTCATGAAAGTCCGTACACTTTATGTTGTGGGAAAGCTGTTGTTGATACATATTTAAGTATAGAGCCACTGAGTAGCTTTGAATATAAAATACAGTATCAGTTTAAGATGCTGTCATATTGTGCTCAGACCATGAGATGTTTGRTTTCAGTATGTTCAGGATAAAGTCAAATGTTTATTAAAATAATTGCTTAAAATGATTTCTCAAATCAAACTCTCCCAGCACCTCCTCACAAACTTCTTCAAACAGGAAAGTGGTATTTAGTAAATAGTCTGCAGAGGATTTTTTTTCCTTAAACTGCGGCATGAGAATTAATGCAGCTGTAGTCCTTTATCCCTTATAGGTAAGTATATTATTATTTTTGCAGAAAATTCACGGTTCTGTCAGACATGCAGCAAAAGGTGTTGTAGCACTGAGATTTCAATTCCCAGCTGCAGCCACTGAGGCAGCAAAAACTGGCCCGTGCTAAGGAAAGGCAAAGTGACAGAAATGCCTGGGTGGAGTGGTGACCGCCGGAGTCCTCCTCCGTCGTGCTGCAGAGCACCAGGTTCGGGCATCAGCACGAAGTGACAGTCGTTCCTGTTATAATTGTCTGGCCAATAATAATTATCTTCAGATGTCTGCTGACGAGGGGCTCGCCAATGGGGAGCCAGCAGGCCTGTGCTGACTGCGCTGAGATTATCTGGGAGAGCTGACGTCACGCCAGGGTTTGCCTAAAATCACAGAAACTTTTCCTGTGCTGCTCCGCCGGCTGCTGCAGCGCTCCGGACATCCCTGCCCCAGCCCAATGTCCTCCCGCCCGCTGCTGCCCTGAGCAGGCTCCCCGTGCTCCTCTCTCTCTTGCCTCTCCTGTTTTTGCATCCTGAAAAGCTCAGGTTTAACCCTCAGCAGTGTGCTCGCAGGTAGTAGCGGGAGGAGGATGAGCAGAAGTGAAACTGGTTATTCCCTAAAGATGCTGTGGGGCTCTGATTCAGAAACTGGCTGGTTTTGTTGTCATTAACAGAAGGAATGATTCAGTAAAGAGAGAAGGACTGCATGAGGAGTGCTTGGAATTTTTTGGTTTTAAAGGGATCTGGCAACTTAAACTCGATTCTGAAATCAACTTTGTGGACCTTAGATGTATAAATGTTAATGTATTTGAAAGAAAACATTCATGCAGGAAGTTATTTTTAACCTTTCATTATCAAAACTTCTTTGTGGCAGAGGCAGAAAATGCAGCCAGTGCTGAGAGAAATTTGGTGTGATTTTCTTTCAAGTCAGAATTAGAGATAGATGTGGAAGGGCAGAGGGTCAACTAATTTGGATTTGTAAATGCACTTGCCTTTTAATAATTCACACAAGCACCATCGTCCTAGACAGGTTTGTTTCCTAAATGCAGAACAAGCTCTCCTCATCCACTTAAGTTGCTCTTACCTCATGCAGAAATCAAGAGTGAGAGGCTGTGAGCGTATCTCTCCAGGCATATGTGTGTAGCAGCCAAAAACTGATGTAAATTACTTCCCCCCCGCCCCGAGCTCTTGGTAGCTGCCGAGTGAAGGATGTAGAGAGGGACACTGCAGTCACC